ACTTTCATATTGTATGGTTGATCACAGTTAAACATTGTAGTTATATAATATACCCTTGTGGGTCAGGGTAATTTTACATTACTTTTCAGGAGAATCAGACACCATCCACACTTTCATATGACAATGTGGAGACAGTAGAGTTCAATCTCGTTTAATAGGAGAGCCAGACATCGCCTAGCTCAGGCTTAACCCGAGCAGTATAGCTCAATCCCGCCGCCCCTAGACAGGAGAACCACACACTATACACGCTTCAACGCTACAATCTGACCAGCACAGCTCAATCCTGTGGCGCAACCACACAGGTACCAAGTACTCTGGTGGACCATTCGCACCATTCGTATATACACTCACATCACATGTATCACATGTATTTCGATCAGTGATTGCGTAAGAACGCTTGAAACCCATTGTCTGGTGTCGGAATAGTAGGACAACACCACCAAGATCATTTTTATCTCATTTGCGAAATTTTCATGTTTCCGACTCTCCAGACCCTGAGTTAGGGGTACTACCCCTATATAACATGGCGAGTAAGAGCAGGTGTAAATAGTAAAATTTCAATTTCCATGTACATGTACATGTTATACATCATTTAATAGCACTTCATTAGATAATTTGCAAAAAGGAAACCCCTTCGAAAAATATTAATCCATTCAAAAGTTATGAACAATGAAATAATAGTTTCAAGACAAGTGATTCAGATGCCTCTTAAAATACTTTCATATTGTATGGTTGATCACAGTTAAACATTGTAGTTATATAATATACCCTTGTGGGTCAGGGTAATTTTACATTACTTTTCAGGAGAATCAGACACCATGCACACTTTCATATGACAATGTGGAGACAGTAGAGTTCAATCTCGTTTAATAGGAGAGCCAGACATCGCCTAGCTCAGGCTTAACCCGAGCAGTATAGCTCAATCCCGCCGCCCCTAGACAGGAGAACCAGACACTATACACGCTTCAACGCTACAATCTGACCAGCACAGCTCAATCCTGTGGCGCAACCACACAGGTACCAAGTACTCTGGTGGACCATTCGCACCATTCGTATATACACTCACATCACATGTATCACATGTATTTCGATCAGTGATTGCGTAAGAACGCTTGAAACCCATTGTCTGGTGTCGGAATAGTAGGACAACACCACCAAGATCATTTTTATCTCATTTGCGAAATTTTCATGTTTCCGACTCTCCAGACCCTGAGTTAGGGGTAGTACCCCTATATAACATGGCGAGTAAGAGCAGGTGTAAATAGTAAAATTTCAATTTCCATGTACATGTACATGTTATACATCATTTAATAGCACTTCATTAGATAATTTGCAAAAAGGAAACCCCTTCGAAAAATATTAATCCATTCAAAAGTTATGAACAATGAAATAATAGTTTCATGACAAGTGATTCAGATGCCTCTTAAAATACTTTCATATTGTATGGTTGATCACAGTTAAACATTGTAGTTATATAATATACCCTTGTGGGTCAGGGTAATTTTACATTACTTTTCAGGAGAATCAGACACCATGCACACTTTCATATGACAATGTGGAGACAGTAGAGTTCAATCTCGTTTAATAGGAGAGCCAGACATCGCCTAGCTCAGGCTTAACCCGAGCAGTATAGCTCAATCCCGCCGCCCCTAGACAGGAGAACCAGACACTATACACGCTTCAACGCTACAATCTGACCAGCACAGCTCAATCCTGTGGCGCAACCACACAGGTACCAAGTACTCTGGTGGACCATTCGCACCATTCGTATATACACTCACATCACATGTATCACATGTATTTCGATCAGTGATTGCGTAAGAACGCTTGAAACCCATTGTCTGGTGTCGGAATAGTAGGACAACACCACCAAGATCATTTTTATCTCATTTGCGAAATTTTCATGTTTCCGACTCTCCAGACCCTGAGTTAGGGGTACTACCCCTATATAACATGGCGAGTAAGAGCAGGTGTAAATAGTAAAATTTCAATTTCCATGTACATGTACATGTTATACATCATTTAATAGCACTTCATTAGATAATTTGCAAAAAGGAAACCCCTTCGAAAAATATTAATCCATTCAAAAGTTATGAACAATGAAATAATAGTTTCATGACAAGTGATTCAGATGCCTCTTAAAATACTTTCATATTGTATGGTTGATCACAGTTAAACATTGTAGTTATATAATATACCCTTGTGGGTCAGGGTAATTTTACATTACTTTTCAGGAGAATCAGACACCATGCACACTTTCATATGACAATGTGGAGACAGTAGAGTTCAATCTCGTTTAATAGGAGAGCCAGACATCGCCTAGCTCAGGCTTAACCCGAGCAGTATAGCTCAATCCCGCCGCCCCTAGACAGGAGAACCAGACACTATACACGCTTCAACGCTACAATCTGACCAGCACAGCTCAATCCTGTGGCGCAACCACACAGGTACCAAGTACTCTGGTGGACCATTCGCACCATTCGTATATACACTCACATCACATGTATCACATGTATTTCGATCAGTGATTGCGTAAGAACGCTTGAAACCCATTGTCTGGTGTCGGAATAGTAGGACAACACCACCAAGATCATTTTTATCTCATTTGCGAAATTTTCATGTTTCCGACTCTCCAGACCCTGAGTTAGGGGTACTACCCCTATATAACATGGCGAGTAAGAGCAGGTGTAAATAGTAAAATTTCAATTTCCATGTACATGTACATGTTATACATCATTTAATAGCACTTCATTAGATAATTTGCAAAAAGGAAACCCCTTCGAAAAATATTAATCCATTCAAAAGTTATGAACAATGAAATAATAGTTTCAAGACAAGTGATTCAGATGCCTCTTAAAATACTTTCATATTGTATGGTTGATCACAGTTAAACATTGTAGTTATATAATATACCCTTGTGGGTCAGGGTAATTTTACATTACTTTTCAGGAGAATCAGACACCATGCACACTTTCATATGACAATGTGGAGACAGTAGAGTTCAATCTCGTTTAATAGGAGAGCCAGACATCGCCTAGCTCAGGCTTAACCCGAGCAGTACAGCTCAATCCCGCCGCCCCTAGACAGGAGAACCAGACACTATACACGCTTCAATGCTACAATCTGACCAGCACAGCTCAATCCTGTGGCGCAACCACACAGGTACCAAGTACTCTGGTGGACCATTCGCACCATTCGTATATACACTCACATCACATGTATCACATGTATTTCCATCAGTGATTGCGTAAGAACGCTTGAAACCCATTGTCTGGTGTCGGAATAGTAGGACAACACCACCAAGATCATTTTTATCTCATTTGCGAAATTTTCATGTTTCCGACTCTCCAGACCCTGAGTTAGGGGTACTACCCCTATATAACATGGCGAGTAAGAGCAGGTGTAAATAGTAAAATTTCAATTTCCATGTACATGTACATGTTATACATCATTTAATAGCACTTCATTAGATAATTTGCAAAAAGGAAACCCCTTCGAAAAATATTAATCCATTCAAAAGTTATGAACAATGAAATAATAGTTTCATGACAAGTGATTCAGATGCCTCTTAAAATACTTTCATATTGTATGGTTGATCACAGTTAAACACTGTAGTTATATAATATACCCTTGTGGGTCAGGGTAATTTTACATTACTTTTCAGGAGAATCAGACACCATCCACACTTTCATATGACAATGTGGAGACAGTAGAGTTCAATCTCGTTTCCCCTCTTATGGGGTTCGATCTCGTCTCCTACACATAGCAGAAGCTATAAGAATTCGATCCAACAACTCAAGTCTTTGTGTTCATCAGAAATTTGTAACACCCTTATCCCTCCCTTGGCCTTAATAAATAATCTTATTTTCCATACTCTTTCTTCATTTATTTTTCTTCACCCCCCTATCAATTATTTACTTATAATTTTTCTAATATTCGCTTCCAATTATCTGAACACTTCTTATTACGTAATCTTATAATTTTTATGAATGTTATTTCAGTGTCTGTATTTTCTAATCATTGACCTATTTTCCTATTATGTAACATTGATCCAAGCCTTTATTATTCTTATCACAACTAGTACATCTGTCATTATACTATCAATCTATACTTTCTACTTATTATTAATTTTGATTATGTAATCTATTTCACTGTTATCATTGACTAATAAACTGCCTTGATTGGTTCATTAATTTCGTATATGCATACAAATACTACTGTATACAAGAGTAAAGCCTGATGAGGATCTAATCGAAAACAATATTGTTCACATATAGGTTGTTCTAAATCAAAATATGAGAATTTTTAAAACATTCAACACTTGTTCATAAACACGTCTCTTCACATAATCACAGATTACAAGTTCAAACTTAAATATTCACGCTCTCACATTTCAGATGACCTCGCATTAGACAAACCCACAGGTGAGTTACATTCTTTATTGGTCAACAGATCGCACTATATCAGTCATGAAATGTAACTCAGTTCAGTCGAATATATACACTTTGTGACAATGTGATGTGCTAAATCGTTCAAGTAATATTTGCATTAGTTGAACACACTGTCATTCTGTGATAAACAAGCTAGACATAGGATCATTGAGAAATTTCATGGAATACACTGAATCATATACATGTGAAGAGATGTTGCTCAAATGTGTGAATTGTGATGAATATGGAAAAGAGTTGACCATGTTGATAAACTAATACAACGGGATGGAAATAGAAGGTTAATCAGATTTCTGTGTTATATAGAACGTGTGAATTGTCAACAAACTGACCACACAATAACCGAGTGACTTCGACAGAATGACAGTCACTTTACAAATTCTATTAGCGAAAGTGATCTGAGTAAAAAAATTTTGTTCTATTCGTCATTATTCGTTTGAAAGTGCACAGTTGTTAATCTTCAATATTTCACTGTGTAAATATTAACGTGTCTCACACTGTACGATAGATCACCTCAAGATTTTTATTTATTTACACACTCAGTTCTTCTTTGTTATTAGTGTTGTCGAATTTCCAATAAGACTTTTGTAATGTTGACATTCATCTGTCCTTAAATTAACGGTAGTTGGATGGTGATATATATACACACACTGGATTTTCTTAAAATTTCGCTTTAATAAATTGCTCGTTTGTCAATGCTTGTACACCTTCTCCTTACAACCAATTCAAAAGCATTCACGAATTACAAATTATTGATTATAGTTCCAGAACATTTAAAAACGAGAATTAAACATTACAAAGATGCATATTATCACTCTTCAATACATAAATGTAAGTTATTTAGAATAATCTCAAATTTGTTAAAATTCAAGTATGCTTATCGAATAAATCATCTTGATGTTTTTCATAAATCGTGTGTTTATGGAATTGACGTTACGAGTGATTGTGGACCAACTGCGGGACAAACTTCACTAACGTATTACCAAACTGCATAATTTGTTACGCTCAACTTCTTGCTTTGATGGGCATAATTTTCGTTCGATTAATTAATTTTGCAAAATCATTACCACATTAGCTATGCATGTGAAACTCACATCTGGATTACCTAACGTCATCTCAAAAAATAACTGTTTTGGGTCCTGTGCACTTAATCATATACACTAGCAAATAACCCATTTTCATGAAATTCATCGCAGTTTGTCGTAGCACGTGTCCACCATAATTAACTCGGTCAAATCAACATCGTAAAAGATTCTTCTTTATCAAATAGAATTTGTAATATTCAACTATGAACAATATTCGAACTACTGTTGAAAAAAACTATATGACTTTAATTTCAGTTTTATCTCTTGAACCATATACACGCGCGAGTTCCACAAGAGCACCACAGATATATCACGAAGGTAAGTAACTTGTTTATTAATTAAACTGGCTTACATAGTTGCATGAAAAACGCTTTCAAAACATCTGCATCCCACAACGACTGATATGAAAACATTGATATGCTTTCGCTTCTCATGTATTGACGTAGGCGTGGAGACGTTTCAGCCTTATCAACTGAAGAATGAACAGAGTCAGGTCCATTGCTTATATTATTGAAAAAATTCGCTGATGAATTTCATTTGTTTAAAGGATGGTGTGGAACACTCAAGTTGCTGAGATTCAAACTATCGAATAAATTCGAACTTCACGTCTTCAAAGTTTAGTACAACAATGATTGTTATTCTTCAAAAATGTTTTCATTGTGTTTTCTTTGTAATACATCTAACGTGGTATTATCAACTGAGGAGTCTATGAATGTACTTCTGATGTATTTCTTACTTCTTCTAGAATGTCTGAGGTTAGAAAAATTATACTTCACAAAGTGGGCAGTACATTATCTATCAAGTAAGTCCTGTTGTGATAATTCTTCGTCTGTACAAATTGCACAGTTTGGATCAGTACTCACGGGATTTATTATTAGAAACACGAAGTCACTTATTATGAAATCAGGTGTATTTGAACTTCCTTTTGCCAATAAGACTAATGTACCAAAGAAATGTTTGTGATTAGCACAATTCCTGGTCAGGTAGTTGTTATATAATGAATGATAGACGACATAGCATACCATGTCGCTTCCAGATTTCAAAACAGTCCTCACAATGAGACCACACAGACCCAGTGAATTTCTCAAAATGGAGTATCGGATATCTGCGTCTGCTTTTAACTACGTATTTATTATTCTATTTTTTTTACAGAAACTGGAGCAACTGATATCACTCTGTTGCGAAGTTATGAAAGTACGTAGTTTTTCATTGATCTAGACAGTTTTCGGGAGTAAGGGATCGGCAGCTTATCTACAAAATGTTCCATTGTACAGTCCACAAAACTTAACAGATTAATATACGTCTTTGATTATCCGAAAATATCGCTATGTACATACAGATTCGTTTGACATACATACAAAATGTGCACGAAATGTTTGGATGCCTGGTTAATTATTAATTTTCAGAACGTGGTGCAGATCTCATCATCTGCAAGATGTCTCGACTTGCTAAGTGAACAGGGTCTCCTTTTACGTTCACGGATGAAATATATCAGAGAAGCTGTTTCTCGCTAACAATACGACGAAAATGTGTAAAATATATAAAATTAGGTGATGACTACCTCATGCACATGGAAAAGCATATGAGCCTGAAATTTATGATTTGCACGAAACCGTCATGCAGTCTTAGATATACCTTCAGCGCAGTCCATGTTTCTCTGAACAAGATATTATTCAAATCACACATCACCTTCAAACAGTGACTTTACAGTGTATATGGACGAAATGATTCTCAATAGCTACCATAAACTCTCACAATTTTTGTTTCCTTTTCCAAAAACAGATGAATACGAAGAGGCCAAGAAGGGAGATGAAAATGCTGACCCCCGTAGAGACTGTAATTATCATTATTATTTTAATTACTGCGAACAAATTTGAAACGGCTTCTCGTAAATATCCAATGGTTCTACTCTTAAACATTGTTACATTCGACACAGTGGTTTACGAATGTTAGGCCTTCCTTCTGAGCAAAATTGCCTGCAAAATCTACGTATTAATTAATAACACAAGCAATAAAGATGAAAAACGATTACTGTATTCGAAGTGATTGAATTTTGGTCTGATGTATTTGCACTCAGAATTAACATGTGGATGATAGTAATAATATGTATATTCTGGAAATAATAATTTCAGAATTCACGCCAGTTTACAGGCATGGTCAGCTTCATATAAATGGAAACACTAGATATACAGTACAGACATGAGCAATAACGAATTAATTAAAATCATCTACAACTAAGGAAAGTAGAATGCAAACAGAGAGCACGGAACAACGATTACTGAGAACACTACTGGGAACTGTCTACCATCGAATGTGAATGTTGTAGCAGAAAACCTCTCAAGATTTTTCCTAGTGTTATAGTTGTCTTATCTTTATCGCCATTTTCACGAATGACCAGTGTTACTAAGCATCTGACCCTGACGTCTGCTCACAGTAGGTGAAAATATTGACCATGAATTGTTCATTATTAAATGGTTCACCAACAGTGATATATTGTCTATCACTTTTATCCACTATAATTTTTCAACAACTGACGAGATTTAATTGAATGCTTATTGCATAAATTATTGCTTTCACAGGGGGTGGACAGTTACGAGCAAGTATTTCTAAGAAGTGGAAAGAGAGAGAACTTCTTGATGACGTCGAAAGTAATGTTACACATTTTTCCCTTTTCTAGTGAACGTAACAAAAACCGTAGAGTAAACCCACTGGTAACTTCAATTGACCTATCCATTAGGCATTCTATGATATCTCAAACGTTGAACGAACCAGATAAATTATAATCATCGTTCATTATTGACAGCATAACAGACTGATATTTAGAGAGAACAATTTCAAAGCATTTGTGAGAAAGCATCCGACAATATTGTTGAAACTCTTTTAGCTACACAACTATAATCGGCAATTGGTTATTCAAATGGAAATTATTAGTGCAAGTATTCCCAAACGACAGTGGAAATGAACACAACTGAAACAAACGTTGTTGAATGAAATAGTGAAAGAATGTTCGTAAAATGATACACTGTCCGAGAGTCCAAGTGACACAAGGGAATGAGAAACTGTAAACATGAAAACTGTTCGTTTAGTAACTTGATAGGTTTATAATGAGAATCATTATTATTCCACTTTAAGGTGTTTACATCGCTGAACCGTACACAAACGTGAATGTGTATAAAGGTGAGTTTGGCATATTACACCTTTAAGTACGATTTTGTTTTTTGATAGCACCAACATTTTATTGTGTGAAGAGACCGAATGACTACTGATTATCTACAGTTCATCTTTTTTTTAAACGCTTACATGTAAGCAGAGATGGATAGTGGCGTTACCAACTTAGCTGTTGAGTCCTGATAGCCACATGCCTGTGCAACAAGGTGAAGTTCAAATCCACTCGTAACCGTCCAGTTGAATCTTCCCATTGATGTTTGGCACTGCTATTGATCAGTCTCTTAATAGAATATGTAGATATTGTTTGTTGCCTCGATATTGCCTTAAGCATTATAAGCAAAGATGGATAGTGGCTGGTAGTGGAATCCAGGACGCGCGTTTTGTCCTAGTTGGGACTCGTCAGATGGATGAACCTGAATCTCAGAGTTGATGTTTGCTCTGACACTCGATCACAATACCGTCAGTTTCAAACGTCATCGCGTTATTCACTTAGCCACTGAGTTCTGATAGCTTCCATGTAGTTACATCGAGTTCGGCAACTAAATTTTAAATGATACTCTGTCAAAATGAATAAAACTAATCCAAAATGCCTTGGATAATGTATGATTCTGCTCTAAAAATTCACAGAGGAACTGAAGAAACAGTTAACGAATACTGGAAATAAAATTGAAGCTCAACTCAGTAAGCTGAACATTCATAATAATGAGTTTTCTGTTGTTGCATGCCCAACTTACATCATGTGATTTGAGAAAATACGGTTCATTGGTCTTCATTGTTATGTCTTATAGTCTGTCAATTATCCCGTGACTAGATCGCAAATCATAACACAGACTTGTACAACATTTTCTGGACCAAACCAATGACGTGTTTATCAGAACGAACAGCCTAGAGTCAACTCTCAGTCCGTATTATTTCTTCTCGTCTAGTCCTACACGTTTGAATCCAGAACACAATCTCGGCTTCCTTTCTATGAATCATATATTTCAAACATAACCAGTTTATATTCAAGCGAGTCCAACAACACCATACCATGAAAAAGAAAATAAACACTATACAAGGTCAAGTCCAAAGTGCCTATAGCTATTAAATTTAAATAACTCGAAAATAATAAATCATACCATAATATTCAATGGGTCAAATGAATCTTCATAATAAGAGAAATGTAAGTATATATGTATATATAAACCAAATACTTACTAGTTATCCAATAGAAATATATGTATTAATGGTGCGTAAATAATTCCTAGCAGTTACCATTCATTCAATATTGGTTAGGATATAACATTTATAAGGTTGAAATGATCGTAACAACACATTGCCGACTGTGATGCGACAGAGTGGGGGAAACCTCCAATTTCACATCCACCAAGGAATTCAGCTAAACTTATGTTGTTGTCATTTCATTTCTTTTGACACAATTCAAGTGTAGTTACTACGTGAAATACAACTATACACAAGTTGTTATGCTAACTACACACACACCACCACTCTCAGACGGTTCAGCAGCAATATGGTTTTCATAATTAAACTTATGAATTGAAAATGAGTTTAATTTCTGATTGTCGGATTAAATCAAATACTTCATGTGCTTTGCCAACTGTAACCACTTTTTTATTGTTTCCTTAGATAATGTCAAGCAATTAGAATCGAAGGCGATACAAGCAGCAAATAAACACATGAATAATAGAGGTGATAAACTTAGCATGTTTTTATTCAAAACAAATTCTGACCGTCAAACTGAAATTGGTTAGACGATGCATATCACAAGTGATATCAGGGATATTGCAGAAAAATATTAGGCTGTTGTTTACAATTCAGTCTTGAGTAATTGCTAGTGCAATTCACATTGTTTGAGGACTATGAGAAAGGCGTCTCCGGACGGAATATTAATTCACTTATAATAATACTCAAGATGTTTCATTGAAAAACGAAGACATATTTGCTCAGTGATGAAGAAATCGAAGAGGGTTGATTGTCTGTAAATAATGCAATAATTATGAACAGTTCGGAATGACAGTTATTCTTTTATATTTGTAGACTAGATTATTCTAGTTGATGAGATGGTGAATTCAGGCAACAGATAAATCACATGTTACTTAATATTACTGAAGTGTTTAATTACAACCTTTCCTGTAATTCTTAGTAACGTGATACCTAATGTAGTGAACTATAATCGTGGTATTATGTATGCATGTATATGACACTTCCTAGTTTATTTTAAATCATTGGAAGCTTATATTTATTTTTCTTACCTTAGATGATAAGTCACTTGAAAAACAATATTATGAAGCCTATTCAACACTAGCCAAAGAATTGCGTAATCATATTTACATATTGTATAATAGTTTATATCATTTAATTGTAAAACTGTAAGCTTCATAAAAGGTAATGTGAACCATTTGTTTCATAAAATAGAGTCTGTTCTCAAATTGATATGCGTTGGCCTACATACAATATCTTTTGTTTCTTTTCATAGGTTCATTGGTTGACCTGATGGGAGAAGCTGAATTTCAAAGGTTTCTATTATTAACTAGTATGCTTTAAGATTTTTAACTTTATTTTTCTTAGCACTACCCAAAGATGAACAAATAAATATCATTATACAAGCAATGGATAAAGATTCAACCAATTGCAGCTGTAAGTTTCAAAGCACACATTGCAAACGTTTCTCATGAGTCGACATTGCCACACGAGATCAGAGAACGTCGAACAGTATTCTCATATTCACTGCTTCTTAAATATTTTTATTATAGAATAAGTATCGAATGATGTTCTACCTGAACTAAACATACAAAAGCGTAGTTGTTATTTACTAATAGAAAGAATGCTTGGTCGAATATTATCATATTATATCCTCATACATTTTCGCCAGAAACGTTCACTGCGATGTTTAGGAATTATACGTCAGTGATTTTTTAATGAACACAGTACCATTACGATAACTTAATATGATAACTTATGAATATAAATTGTAAGAATGTAGATTGATAAAAGAAATTGTCATATCAAAAATAACGAGAATATTCGACTTCGGATGATGCATACTTCCATGTAAATATAATACACTTCTCCCCTTGATTTTTATACAAATGCAAAGTCTACTATTCCATCAGCTGTGTGAATATGCTATCACTAAATATCTCACATCACGTCGTTTCACATTTTATTCAGTAGTATCCTTTGTTAATAGTTTGTCAGAAATGCACTCAAGTTTCTTGTTTAAGCGCTAGAATTTGCAAACGTACTTCCTTGGAAATTTACTCCACTCTCTATTTTTCTGTTCCAGGAGAATGTTAATGTTTTCAACTAAACCTCAGTGTTCGTTTATGATATGGACAGACATGTTTTGGATCGTTAACAGTTTTCTGTGTCAATTGCTTTTTCAATAAATAATACGCACAAACATTTTCTTCCGATTTATTTCATTTTGCGTGCAATTACAACATGATGTCGATGAAACACCATCAATGTCAAGCAAAATGTAGGCAAAAGATTAACAATATTTATTTACTCTGAAGAATTGAGTTACATTGAGTCACGAAACGTCAGAAATACAATTTTCCACTCACTGTGATATCACAAAAATATATATCTATAATTAGTGTTCCGGCCTGCTCAAAATCTTTTATCTTCATTAGAGAATGCATACGGTTGAAATATCCATATGCCATGATTTTAAACAACCTGTGAAACGATCAAGTCATTACCGGGAAGTTCATTAGGTCTTCTCCACTCACTTAACAAGTTTATCCATAAACGAAACCAGATGTAGACAATTGTACAGTCCAAAGATAACTATATATATACGGTAATCAATGTTGGTGATCATGTTTGATCTAGTTATGTTCACATAAATTAGAATGAAATATCAAGTCAAATGGGAAGCACAACCACATATTGAAATCACATTCGTTAATGGAATTTCGCAAAAATGCTTTCGAAGCAACTGTGAGATTTAGTTGCTAGGGTTTGTCGTACTGCACAAAGAATCCAGTTGTTGGTAATTACAGAGACGGTGCATACCAACTAGGTGTGTATTGGCATTCCGGCCGATAGGTATACATACTAATAGTAGACCTATGGCTTTCATATCCTACAATTCTTCTTGAACCCACTTTGTAGTTTAAAATGTTGGTGCGTTTGTCATCTTGGTAGTTTTCTTGTTAGTAGAGAAATGGCCACAATCTGGTAGGCGAAAGTTCATACATTTAGTTCGAGAAAGTCCTAACAGCGTGAACTACGTATTCAAATACAAATCATGTAATTATCTGTCTACTATGATAGAGTAAATCTTTGAAAAGCAATTTCAACTATTGTATAACTCACAGACAAATGCGGAAACATTTGTCATGATAAGTATCGTGTCTCCTTATTATGTTATACTTGTGAATTGTAAATTGTGTATCCTCAAGAAAAGTTCACACCATTGAAATGTAAAACCAAAATGTGAAACGACAGCCAAAATGTTATCAGAATAATGTGTTTTGGTGAGTACTTGAAAACGGATCCAACAGAAACCGAACTTCAAAGTGCTTGCCGTTCGGATGTAGTTGAAACTCAAGAGTATTGTTGAATTTGACGGTTATTGAATCACATGAACGCTCTAACGTTGTCTATAAACAACTGCATGCGTATCACAACAAAACTACATTTTTTTCTCTTTATATTTACGATTGTCAACCGCTAGCTAGGAAACGGAAATGGAAAATACTGACTCCTACTGTTATATATAGTCATTTTTATGACAACTGTTTTGTCACGCAACACCAACCTAGGTTTTACATTTATCCATTTATCTACACTAGGATGTATAAAAAGAGAATCTATTTAAAACTAATGAATAACTTACACATTCTTCACCTAACATATACGATTTATTACTGTATGACTGTGACGATCAGCGTAAAGGAACCAATAATTCACGCACATCTTCTCGCAAGTAATGGAACATGGCAAATATGTCATTGACTTACAAAACTGCTTCGTATATTTCTTCCCTACTGAAGTAGACTTGCCAAAAAGTCCAATAATATTTATTCTACGTTACATTGAAGTAAGTCAGTATACAGCTCTCAGGCTAGTTTAATCTGATTAGTGTTGCGAAATATCCTGACACTATGTACTCATTTTATTTGAAAGAAAAAAAATCCAGGTAATCTCGACGACGGGAATAATTAATAAACTGAAAAGAAGTGAATTACTGATCATCTGAGGACATTCTGTACTTTAGACATTAGAGAGACAATAATAATAGGAATGATGGCATTACACTGATTTCTTTCCACAACCCCGATGAAAATCAAAACAGATATTATTTGTTTATACATAAAACTAGCACAGAAAAAGTCACGTCCTACTGAGATGTATGTTTATGAACGATGTGTTTTCTCTCCGACAACGTCTGGTTCATTTCAATTGTACTGTTAAGTTATTAGAGCAGTTTAACCATTGTGTTGCGTGACGTATATATTGTGAATGGAGTTAAAGAGAATATACTTTCATTTTACCGATGCAAACTCAAATATAATTTTCACCACATAGAGCCTATCATTTCAAATTCTCGACTGTTTTCTAATTAAATTTTATGGCACTCAGTAAATACTTTCATGAATACGCTTCTTAAAGGTTGATTAAAGATCGTTCAAATGTGACAAACAGTCATATTTCGATTAAATAAGAAGAGAATTCAGCGAAGAAAAATTTCTTTTCGACGAAACCATTTACTTAAGCTGTACGTTCGTATATGTAGTTAGATGGAAAATATATGTCTACAGGAGGCTAAGAAAGATTGCATTATAAATTGATTCGACAACAAATAACAAATGAGGTTACGTCTCAATCAAGGGGTATGAAAGAAAATAATTTATAGGTCAGACAGATCTATTGACAAGTATGAAAAAAAGCGACAAACACATAGGTCATAATAATAATCTGAATAATAATCAAGAAAACTTGTATAAGGTAATAATAATAACGGATGGCTATCAGGACTCAGTGGCCGAGTGGATAACGCGATGGCGTTTGAAGCGAGGGTACTGGGTTCGAGTCCCAGAGTGAACATCAACTCTGAGATGCAGGTACATCCAGCTGACGAGTCCCAAATAGGACGAAACGCGCGTCCTGGATTCCACTGCTAGCCACTATCCATCTCTGCTTAACGGATTAGAGTTTAAAAATGTAAAACAGTAATTTCAAAAAAACGATAATAATCAAATAAAAGTGCAGAAAAGAAAAAAACAGCAATCAGAAACATACAATCAAGGGAATTAGGGATGTGGTGGACCAAAACGTATGATAACAAAAATTAGCAACAAAAATATTACGTCTAAAGTTTATATAACGATTAACAGTTAATAAGTTAATTACAAACAGATAAAAAAATAAGGGACGTTACTTAATTCTTCAGGCTATTGCGTGTTCAGTTGAGTTTGGTCTAAATAATCCACAATTATAAAAGATTAGTAATCCCAATATGGACGATATAGATCCAATAGGTTTACCAAGCGTAGAATTCAATAAGAATGTCACGATTGTCTATAAATGGAGATGGTATGCAATTAATATTTCATTTAACATATTAGCAGACATGGCAGAACGATGCAGATTAGAATTAGAGTGTATTTATTGAGGAGCAGTAACAGTGCCACGATATGTTGTACTCAAAACGGAAGGAAGTCAAGTTACAAGGGTTCAAAGTGATACACTTAAACAACAAGTACAATTGTTTAATGCTAAATGTACAGAATATGAAAATACATGCGTAAACTATGAAAAATTATTTACAAAATAGGTTTTATGGTCCTATCTCCACATAGCTCCCCCCAGAGTGTCCGGAGGTAACACTGATTACAATATGAACAACAAAAATTGAGAAATATTGTGTATAAATTTACATAAAATAGTATTTACTGTAATAACGGAAAAAAAAATTGTGGAGATAGGAATAAATGACACGTTAATAATATAGGCTATGCTACGCAAAATGAAACTGAAAAACGAGCATTAAAAAGTTTTGGTTTGCTAATAATAATAATAATAAAATGTGCGAAACTGTTAATAGAGTCATAAAATATTAAAAAAATGGATGAATTTAATGAATAGTTGGTTTGCATTCACTCGTTTATTACTATGGCAATTTTTCTTATTAAAAAAAAATTGGCAAAACTAGTGATAATAAATAAATGTAATTATTAAATGTGCATGTAAGGAAAATAAATAGCTTTTATTAGAAAATTGAGTAACAACAATAAAATGCGTGTAATTGAATCGATTTTCATTAGTCGGCGAAATGTACGTAGCGCTTAGGTTTCTTTACCAACCTACCGGAGCGAGTTAAAGACGGTTTAAGATGAAACTTGTCCTCTTCGCTTGGC